CTAATATTTGGAAGAATGTGAGGATAGTTGAAGTGTGGGCTGTGATTTCTATTGAAGAGAGGTTGGTGCTACAAATAAAAGAGGAGGTTGGTGAATTGAGTTTTGGGTTACTCATAACCCCCCCCTGGCTATGCCCGTGTATCTTTATGAAAATAAATATATATATACAAGTATAACAGTACACGAAAATAATGTCATAGAAATAATAAACAGTGTGGTGATAATGATAAGATTCATAGTCTAATACTGTATCTTATTATTAGAACGAAATTATGACTAAACAGATTACTTAGTTTTTTAACTCTTAAGAATTTATTTAAAAAATTTATATTATTATTATTGTATAGCAATCCGTATTAATGTTCTTGGAAATATTTAATGTGTTTTGCAGAAGTTTTTCTTAAGTACCCAATTATACACTCAAATAAACAGTGGCAAAGAAATTTAAATAAAATAATGTATCTAATGCCATTTTCGATTGGTAAATCTGAAATCAAACTAGATTAACTCTCCATTCGTCAAATTTTGTTGCCCAAACGAACATTTTTAGAGTATTCTAAAATTTTTATTGTAGTGTTGGTTGGTTGGTTGCAGTGCCAGGTCATTATGCTAGATAACTCCCATTTACCTCAATTAGCGATGTTCCGCGTTTTGCTATCACATTCGTCGCAAGAACTCCTAGTAACTAAATCCATCCCATCGAATTTAGGTAATTTATTGGTCTGTCGTCTTCACCGATGAACAGTCTGATAAACTGTGAAAGAAGTGTTTTCCTAAACACCTATTTTAAGGATAAGATGCAACAGTAGTTCCTTATTTGAGAAACATTACCGGGACGCGTTTTTAGAAACGGTTCTGAACTTGTTCTGTGGTTTTACTTTTATGTATTTATTATTTATGTATTTTATATATTGTATTGTTGTTCTTAGAATGGCATATTGTATGACATTTCTTAAACGCTCTTAAACGGTTATTAAAATGGATTTGCGTAAGCCATATGACATCCAAATTTCTTCAACAATCTATATCAAGCGATAGAAATTCTTTTATAAACACAAAATATTGATTCCACATCTGATAGATACAAGAAATCGACAGATACTAATGTGTGTCTTGTGCAATCATTGATAGTTACGCCACTGCACCTCTTCAATTAATATGGAAAAAAACTTATATCTTATGAATCCATGGTATTAACAACGTCATATTTCAATCCAACTATACATATATATTGTATTTAAAAGATAGTGTTTGAACCAACAATACTATATATTAGAATTATACTATAGAAAGATCGATTGTTGTCATAAAAAAAATCTATTAAGGATCCATTAAGACCAGGCCAAGTGGTGACAGATCCAGAATTAGGTCAAGTGGTGACATATTTTTCTTGCACTTAATAGAGAGCCTGCTTTGAAGGCTGCGACAAAATATATTTCATTTGATTGATAATTATTTATATTTTGTTAATACTTTTACTCAGACTGTATATATTAAAAAATTGATAAGTACGGGATAGAACTGTTTTTTTAAGATTTTTTTTATGTTATTATAACCAATATATATACATACATATAATAAGTTGTGGAAATATTAATTGATATTTTATTAGATTCGAAGCAAGTAATTAAGTCAAACGATTAATATCATTGAGATAACACTGTGGAACTGTTATATACATTTGTGAAAATATTATGACAAAAAATATTATGAAGAGTAACCATTCTAAAAGAATAAATATTACATGTACCTTTTCGGATTGACTCATTGCTAGATAAAATAAAACGTATATTCTATTGAAATACAAATGTTTGATGTTTCTGATAACACAATGTATCTGACTTATGCGAAATAATTCTTTAATCCAATAAAAAAAATGTTAAGAAGGGGTTAATATTCACTGAGATAGAGGTTGTTTAAAAGAATTCAATACTAAAAAAATAGTCGTATAAACCAATTCATCTCAAGACATATCTATATAAATAATTTCGGTGTAAAACTATTTATCGATTTATCCATTGATTGAAAAACGTGCCCACACTTATTAGTTCTTCAAGTATAACTTCAGTAACTCAGTACAAATTGAGAACCTAAGCATGTCTATGGAAAGCTATATGAGTAAAACTTCACTAACTCAGTACAAATTGTGGACCTAAGCATGTCTATGGAAAGCTGTATGAGTAAGACTTCACTAACTCAATACAAACTGAGGATTCTTTAATATAAACTAAATTATGGGATTACTAGTTTCGTATATATTTATCTATCAATTATTGTTTATCTGTTAGCTGCAACCTCATTATTTCCAATTAAATCCATAAAAGTATAGTATTTAACAATGTGAAAAGAATATTACTGGAAGAGAGTAGAGAGAGAGTTAAAGAGGTATAACTCCATCTTTAATGTACATATGTACATTAATATACCTGACATACATGACATAAATTATATATGAATGCATGAATGCTGACCTTACAATATTCGTATATTTATAATAGTCTCTCTAGGTTGCAACAATATATAATCCTGCAAGTATCTGACCGATTAACAAGTTGAATATTTTTTTTTTTTCACAATAAACATGGCAGAGTTAAAATTGATTTGAACTTACTTTTGAGACTGCTTTTGGATATTTTTATTATTAAGAGTTATGTTTTTGTTATATTATCAAAAATGGGTGATAAGATTTAAATTTATAAGGAACAACGAATATCACGTTAATAAGGTCAGTATGTTTCAATTTTTAGGGAAAATTTAAACCGCATATGGTGAGAAAAAGCATTTTAAAATCTGCCGTGGCATAGTCTCCCACACCACGATTAATATATGTATATTAAGAGCAGTACTCACTCAATAGCAAGCTTTAAAAATACACTAAACTTTTGATATCTTTGTATCAATATAGATGATGATGATGATGTTTTTTGAAACCGAGAATTGTATCACGAAACTGTGAGCATACTGGTACCATGATATGGCTTGGTAACATGGATGGTAATATAAGATAATAAGTGGAGAATGCTACAACTTGAGAGAATGGATTTATGACTAAACATTTTTTTAAATACGATATGTAAATGAAGAATATAAAATTTACCGAAATAACGAAATTAAGTATCTGACAGATGGTCTTGGCGTTTGTTTTATCCGAAAGATTAAGCTTGATCAGATATTTAGATGAAATGAGCTCTTGAGTGTCAGCGAAAATTTGGAACATATATTTTTATGACATAAACAAAAGAGTGCGACCACTGCTGGGGCTGCGGAATGTTATCAAGGAAAACATTGAAGAGATGGGTATAAAAACGACCTTTAAAGAAAAATTGTTAAGCCTGTTAAAACTCACTATGAGTTGTAGAGTCAAATAATAAGGACGATATACATATATTGAAAATGATGTTTGATGTTTTAAATTCCAAAAGACTGAGCTGGTTTGAATAGGTAGTTAAAATGATTTTCACAGATATATGTATAAATACTGTAAAGAATTTTGTTGTTGCGAATATATACATAGAGTAGATGAATACCAGAAAAACCCATATTTAGACCAATTATTATGTATCCTACAGTTTATTGTGAGCTGTAGTGGCCAAATGATATCATCATATAGAAGAGACCAACCGACAATTATGAGAGCATATTAATATACTATAAAAAAAGGACCAACGAAGACTAAGATACTGTGAATATGTCGAGATAGTTGTGGAGAAGATGGGTAATAAAAAAAACTCGTGTGTGAACTAAAGTAGTCAGTAATGTTGGGAATATAAAATATTGTTTAAATTGTTGGGACTGAAAAATTAATACAGGTAACTTATGCATTATAGTTGTAATGAACACTGAAAAAAGCAATGAAAAATTATGAAAGCATACTAAGAGATCGACGACGGCTAAGATTCTGTGTATATGTCGAGATAGATATAGAAAATATCGGCTTTAGAAAAACACATTTAGAGACAAAGTCATATGCATATAACGTTTTTTTTGAGCTACTGTAGCCAATAATGATAGGTTTTGAATGCTATTCGATATGTAAGGTACCAAAAATTGAACTGAATCATATATGTATTATAATTAGAATTGATCCTAAAGAATGCAATCGCAAATAATAAATTTATATTCATATATATGAACGACTACTATTAAGACTTTAAAGAAGTCGAGGTAGACATAGAGATAAAAAGCAATAGGAATACTCATAAAAAGGATAATTGTTATGTAAGGCAGACTGCACTGTGATATGCGGTAGCTAAACGATAATGATGATGATGAAACTGAAGACAGATATTGCTTGAATTTTTAACGGTGGTTGCTTAAGGTTTTATTCTATTGTAATAACGAATTAATATATGTACGTATATAGATATTCCTCATATAAATTTTCATAAATAATGGGTATGTTAGGTTTGTAAAGTGTAAGGATATTGGAGACTGCATAAAGTTTATATGTACGTATATATTATGTAAAGTGATCACACTTTCAAGCGAATGCTCATCACAATGAACTTTTGTACGTCCAAAAGGTATGTCCGATTAAAAGGGGTTTAATTGTTCCAAATAATGTTTAAAACAGATCTGGTTCTAAGAAAATTGTACAAAATTGTAAGTGTGGTTTCCATTTAAAGGTGGCGTTTGCTATAGAAGTTTCCACTTTACATATTATGACAAGACGAATTGATTCTGTCGTGTTTGTCAGTTTATAGGTCTGTTTGTAATTTTAATTATCATTTAACGAGTCTTTTGGTTTCTGAGTGAAAATAATGAAAATTTTCTTTAAGGTTTTTATGGATCTAAGCAGATCAAACTGATAACTGAATGAAATCGTTTTACTATACATGTGTATATGTGTATATATAAATACGAGTATCCAATACCGCCCAAAGAAAATAAATAATTATATATATTATTAATAATCTTTTGTGTATATGTATGTGTGATGTATGAAAACACATGTTTTATGATAAATTGGAAAATACGGCATTTAAATAAAAATCACTTACTTTATTGTATAATCTATTATTAAATGAAAATGTTTTAGGGAATGTATCGTACATATAAATAAATTTTTGTTGCCACTGTTTTTGTTTACGTCTCCGTCCCCGGCACCGGCACCGTCGTAGTCGTTGCCCCCGCTATTTCCGTTGTCTCCGGTGTTAGTATTTTTTTGTTTATTGTTAGTGTTTTTATATTTTTTGTTTTTGCCACTAAAACAAAGGCTGCTCTTCGTTGGCATTACAAAATATTCCCAAACAAAAGACAAAATTGGCCCACAATTTTTGGTATAGCGTATATAATTTATGATTTTGAAATTTATTTTTTAATTGTTTTAATAGTTTTTTTTTTTTTTATTTAAATTTATATAGTATTATGTATCATTACTCTGTAGGAAAATCTTTGTATGTTTTTATTTGAAAATTTTTTAATATTTTTTATAATGTACATTTATTTCATTATAATAGATACTATATATTATTTTGCTTTATACAGATTGATTTCACTATTATTTTATTTTATTTTTATTTAATTTTTTAACACACTGTATACAATGAAATCTGCCAAACTATATCTGGTATATATTTTCTAATATATAAAATTTTATATTTTTAATTAAATTGTTTTTTTTTTTTTCTTATATGAAGCATTAGTAGCTGATAAAAGCAAACAATGCGCTTTGGTTGTTTTTCTATTTGTTTAACACGGACAGTGTCTTCATTCTGCCCTTCGATTAATTTTTGTTGTACTCATTACTCATAAAAATAATTGATATTTTTATTTTAAATAAATAATTTAAAAAATATATTGGAGCTTCGAATAATTATCATTGAAATGTCTTAATTACAAAAATTTTTTTATTGTAATTTAATTTTGTTTATTTTTTCGAACTTTAAAAACAATTTCTTTTAATAAAACTGCACAGCGCCTCGAAGAACCACAGAACACACAACCAACCACAATCACTCAACTTCGCTGACTGTTGCACTGCATATGAACTTGCACACAACATACTGTAGACGCAGGCATTACATATGTAAACTATTGATGCCCCTCCTGCGTCACTACAGCAGCGACTGATTTTAGTGATCAAATTGTGTTGTATTTCGATAATCAAAACAAAAATAATAACGAATAACAGAGCAAAAGACAATGTCAAAAGGTTTCTCTTGCTATACTGTGTGTTTAGCTTTCGTTTACAATATTTGCTTGGTTGCATTTTTAAGTATTCTAAAATAATTTTCTAATCAACTATAACATTTATGCTAGTGATGGCTTCTATTTGTATATTACAGTGCCCCAAAAAAGTACATAGACTTAAACACAGATTGAACATTTGCGTGTTACAGTGATACGTGAAAGTACAAAGTACGGACATAGGCATATATATAATATATTTTTGATTAATATTATATATACATTAAATTTATATGTAATATATAGTATTGTTGGTTTTAAAAAAATTTATATAATATATAAATATTTATTTATTTGTATTTGATTTATTTATTATAATACACAATATAAATGTGTATTATATATTATTATTGTGTATTATATAAAAATAAATTGAATACAAATAAATAAATATTTATATATTATATAAATCCAACAAAATTTATTTAATATTTCTATAAATTTTTTATTAAATTCACTATTAATAATAAGTAGTAATATACAATATTATAAATTTAATATTATTGATTTTAAATTATTATAATATTAATATAATCTAATACAAAATGCTAATATAATAAGTTAATATGGAATATATTTTTAATTTTTTTTACGTATTTATTGAATTTTTATATAATACATAGTACTGCTCCCAAAAAAAATTATAAAATATATAAATATTTATATAATATTTGTATTTTATATTTTTATTATTATAAACAATAAAATCCAGAATTAAATCCAATAAAAGTAACTTAATATTTACATAATTTTAATTTATTATTAATAATAAATAATTATGTACAATAATAAATTTAAAAACTATTATTATAATATTAATATAATTCTTTTATTTAATTAATTTATTTGCATTTATATTTATATTGATATTATATATTAATATTGAATATATTATTGATATATATTATGTACTCGTATTTATAAAATTTAGATAAATTATATGGTATTGTTTTCAAAAAAAAAAAAATAAGGAGGTTTTTTGAACAGAAGAGAACAACAAAAATTCATTTTATATTATTTTAATCAATTGAATTTTTGACTGACCATACAGCTGTTTCAAGTATTGCCAAAAAAAGAATTATATAATATATTAATATTTATATTATATATTTATATAATTGTGTATTTAATTTTTTTATTATAATACATAATAAAATACAATGTTAAGTCCAATAAAATTTATTTAATATTTATGTAATTTTGAAATTACTTTAATAATAAATTTAAAAACTTTTATATAATGATTATGAAATTAATTTATTTATATTGATATTTATATTAATATTGAATATTTTTTTGATTTATCTTATGTATTCAATTAAATTTATTAATTAATTAAATTAAATTTAGATGTAATTTATAATATTGTATCCAAAAAAATTTATATAATATATAAATATTTATATAATTTTTGTTTTTAATTTATACATCACAGCAGTAACATCGAATATTAAATCCAACGAAATTTATTTAATATTATTTATTATTAATAACTCAAACAGGCATGCAGCAGTCAACAAGATTCATTGATCCTGGATACATCAAAGTTGAGACTATCCTTAACATGAGCAGAAACGATATTAAAATCTAGACTGAACTTATTACTGGACACTGTAGACTCAATTACCACATGAAGAATATAGGTGCGGTAGAAAGTGATTCTTGTCGATTCTGTCAGGAGTGTCCTATGAAATAAGTTGCCTACTAAAAATGGCTTTTGCTTTTTAATAAAAGTGATATTAATTTTTAATTTATAAGACACATATATATAAATTTTAAACTTTGCATTACCATTACGAAATAAAACTTTATAGCAGATAATTAGCTAGAGATTATTGTTTATTTCTAATAGATTATTTCCTAACGCCTTCAGATATTGTTGAATAAAAATGAGTAGTAGTATTTGACAAAATGCTTCTTATTAAGGAATGCAAAAACAACACATATGCATTTAAAAGTACTTGTAAGTAGCACTATAGAGTTCAACAAATGCAATGAAAATATTTTTTGTGATATTCACTATATAATTTGTGCATTCACATTTAGTAGGTTAAAGATTCCATCGAATCAGTACTTTTCATATATGTGGTTGCAAATATTTGTAATATTGAGCTTCAAAATGTACTCATGAAGTTATGAAGGGTTCTTTATTAAAAGATCTAGTTTTAAAAAACAATAACCATCTTAATGAACACAACAAGTAGAGTTTAGAAATTTGATTTAGTATCTAAATTGGGAAAATATGTGTATATATTCCTATTATATAAACTCAGGTATATAAAGTATATATTATTTTAAAACCTATTTCCCATATAAAGTGGAAAGTGAGATTTTTTCGATTCTTACAGTGACGATTGTTATTTTATAAAATATTACTTTAAAATTGTCAAATTGTGAAAAAAATAGCAAAAGATTATAATATCTTGATATATTGCAATTGCATAAACGATTTGGGAGCTTATGCGGCGAGAACTAGCAGATCAATAGTTATTTATTTCAACATTGTATTTCAAAATCTACTGCAAAGATAATTTTAATGATATATATAACATTGGAAATCATATTAATAGCCTATAGGAATTTGATAGACTGTATCTTAATTCTCAATACACTGACAAAGGCTGCTACTTTTCAGGCCTGTTCATTATTTGGAATTCCATAGAAAAAAAGAAACTCCAGAATTTCAATAATGAAATCATAACAAATCATATGCAAACCATGTTGTAAATATGTAGCACTTGGAGAGAGGCCTATTAATAGATATATTCAGAAAAATATGTAAAAACAAAATTAAATATCTCAGGATATCTAAAAGAAATGACAATCTATTAATTAATACCATATTGAATCACAATAAAAAAACAAGTATATCATTAAATTGAAATGGATATCCAGAAAAAGTTCGTTGCTTATATATAGAATAGTAATACGACCTGCAGCTATCTCTGGTTTATAGAAAATCTTGAAAAATAAAATTTCGCGGTAAATATATGGTCATGTTGGAATAAAGAAAGACACTTCTAGGTGAAAAACCAATGGTAAAATCTACGGCTTTCTAATAAAAAGGATGGTATATTAAAGCTTCAATGGGTGGCATAAATTTTCAAAAGGGGTTTGAAAGGAGATGGCGACTTTGTAACATCGTTAACTGAAGGAAGGTATCGTCAGACACTACAGTTGTATAATTGCGTATGGGTGTCATTCTTTTACAAACCGGACAGATTTGGACAAAAAATGACCTCATCACTTCCGAAAAAAATCAACTCCTCTGAAATTTTTTTATAAACAACTTGAATAATATAAGAATACCCATAGCTGGCAAGAACAAATTAACATTCAAAATCAGAATTATAGTATTTATAAACAAAAATATTGTTTAGTTTTTCCTGATCGTGATTAGCGACCTTGTAGAGAAAGATTTGCATAGCTTCTTTGTAAAATTGCATTCAAAAAAGGTAAGTTGTCAAACGCCGCTTTCGCTTTGTTGATCCGAGTATCAACGTCTTCATCAGCTCCGCTCTTATTTGACACAATACTTCCCAGGTAGCTAGTTTCTGAGAGTTCTTCTGCATTTCTTGAAAAGGATTTTTTCTGAATTATAACTGTGTTTCTGATATAAGCATTGAATATGCTAAATAAATATCATTTATCTAATATTAATAGGACCGATGCAGTCATTGATAATGAAAAGAGAACCAAAAACGTTACGTCTAAACTTTATGTGCCATCATAAGTTAAAAAGAGTTAATAATATATTATTATTATGTTAAGGCTACTTAAGTCAGTGCACCTGAGCACTTTTACTCTCTATTAACTGCGAGGTTTCTTCAAAACCCCTCTTTGCGCCTTGACTAGATTATTGTTTATCACTTCATCAGACTAAGCAATAATTGACCTCAGATCTCCATACCTCCCCAAGGAGCCTGTAACCATTCTGAGATTTGATAACGCGGTGTTGGTAAGTCTGTCAGATTTCGCAAATAATTTCTGGGCTCTATCCTTAATGTATTTTTTGATGGGATCAATCTTGATGTCCCTGAGGATGTCATTCGTTCTAATGTACCATGGAACTTTGAAAAGTCTTCTCAGAGCCTAGCTTTGTGCAATTTCTAACTGGTGAATAGTAGTGTTTGAAGCTTTG